TAACTGATAAAATTTTTGATGCTGTTTTATTTTTCATTAAACATTCATTCTCAAGTTTATAAATGTTATCTAAATCAATACTAGTATATATATGCTCTTGAATTGTCACTAGTAAGGCATTCCTTCATTAAGATAGCTTCTTCACAAAGTTTGAGTGTCAAATTTCAAATTATATACACTGTACTCAAAATGTATCAAAATTCAATTTTTAATTTGTACTAATGTACATGCATGTGTAACATTTTACTTCTAATAATACAAAAGATTTGTTATAATTCTTGAAATCAAATAAAATTTTAAATACAGCCTTAAAACTGCAATTTTTTTTATTGATGTAAGCATAAAAAATGAATATAATTATATACAATCATTTTATGAAACCTGTGACAGTCTTGAGAAATGAGAACATATTTAAACAATAGCGAGTTAAAAGCCTCTGCACTTAATTGCAATTTAGTAAACATTTGGAATTGAAACATTCCCCTCTTATATGGATTTAATTTACTAAAGAGGCCACAAATCTAATCTATAAGTTACCATTGGTAAACATATTTCATAGGGGAAAAGTGCCTTTGTTTCATCCTCTGAAGAACAATTGGGCCGAGGTGGTTCAGGTGAGCGTTGTGGCCCATGGGCCTCTTGTCTTTTCTTTTATTCAAACTCTATTACTGATTTAGTTTTTTTTTTTTACTGTTTTGAACACAAACTATTGAAAATAAAAAAAAATTGAATACAAAAACGATGAAAAACTCAAAAGTTACTCTTGTGACTAGATAGTTGTGAAAACAAACTCAAAAAATTGAATACAAAAACTATGAGAAACTTATGACTAGATAGTTTTGAACACAAAGCAAATTCAAAAACCGTTCTTAAGACACTTGTCTTGATATAAGCATCAGGAATTCATGATTACTGCAGATTTTTTCTTTCAGGAAGATAAGTTTGTCCACATGGCAAAGCTTTAAACAAGCCCTCTGGCTACTCACAATGTCACCTGCAGTTGAAAAAATTATTTCTGATGCTACTGAAGTTGCAGGAATATACAGAATTTTTCTTGCTAAAGAAGCCACTAAAGGGCATTTGTCCTCATACATTTTCCACCACTGTAAGGGGTTACTGTTAAAAGTTGCAGGAGGCAGACTTTTATAAGTTTCTATATTTTCTGTTGCCTTTTCAAAACAGGTTTTCTCTGTAGCCGGGGTTTAAGATAAAAAATACACATCTGAAAACAGTGAAGCCAAGTCTTCCTGTTTTAACTTCTTTCTTTGAGGACTGTTATTGTTATTATTGCTGTCAATGTCAACAGCAACTTCTCCAATGCCCGGGGTGGAATCATCAGCTGTTTGAAATGTTTGGGGTGGGTCCAAATTTGGTAATGGTCATCTGTTTGAAGTGTTTGGGGTGGGTCCAAATTTGGTAATGATGGTAATGGTGGGTCTGAAGTTTCCTTGGGTTCTTGTTTAATTTTCATTGGCCCAAGTTCAGCAAGTTTGTTGATTACATTTGAATGAACTTCCTCTTTCAAAGTGTCATCTTCTAGGAAAGGCAGTGATTTAAATCTAGGATCAACAAAGCTCGCCAAAGTTAAAACATCTCTTTGGTGTTCATATCTATGCTGCAGATCCTGCACAATTGCGTTCTTCATCTGTTTTATCCCCGTACTATCATCTTCTCTTGTCTGCATTTTATGCAGAAGAGTGTGCTGTATAGGCATTATGACAGATATGGTTGGCATGCTCTCGGAGCAGAGAGAAGTTGTCACAGTTTTCAATGGCTTCAAACATTCCATGACTTCCTCAGCAAAAGCTAAGTTTTCATCTGTGAATGAATTAATATCTTTGTCTCTAAATCTTGACACTTCCTTCATTCTCAGAACTGTTGTTACAGCACAATGCACTTCAAGAAAATGACAAACCGTATCATATGCTGAGTTCCACCTTGTGGGTACATCTATCAATAGTTGTGTGCAGGCAGTTGTAAAATTCCAGCTTGTTCTCTGAGCTTTGCAGTTGCAACAGAGCTACAATGGAAAAAGGCAGCAATCTTTCTCATTCTAGCAAGAATATGGGATACTTGTTTCACCTTGAGAGACTTTTGCGCTGCAAGGTTAAGTGTATGTGCATAACATTTTATGTGATGTTCCGCTTGAAACAAGATGCCAGCTTTTTCCATATTGCTAGCATTGACTGAAACGATTGGAGGTCTTGGATCAGAAGGAAGACCCTAATCTTCGACTGCCTGTCATAAAACTTCAGCAATGTTTTCACGTACAATATTAATTTGTAATTAAAATTAAAATCATATCTCCCAGTTTAAGTATGCTTTGAAAAAATACTTAATTTCTTGTTTATTAATATTCATTTCCTTTTGCTTTTTTTTAAAATCAGATTTCAGATTCATACCTGTGTGGTTTTCTGATAAAACTCTTGTTTGAAGCACAAAATTTTGTAAAGTCCAGTCTGTGTCCATAAATACGGCAGTTATTGTAATAAACGGACCTGTACTCCTCAATGTCCATCCATCATTTGTAGTTTCTCAGAGGAAAAAAAATGAATAAGATTTTGATGATTCCTTATCATAATTGATTTTTTTTACAAATTCATTTAGATTAGGATGAATGCACTGATAATTATAAATGAATACTGAATAAAAAATAAGTAATACCTTATCTGCATTTTTAATTTTACTTTTCAACTTTGACTGTTCTTCACTGTACATCTTGGGAATGATGATGTCTGAAAACTGTTTTCATCCAGGAATGGTGTACCTAATGAAAATAAATTACAGAACCAATTAGCTGCAAATCTGTAGCTCTCCGAAAAAAAATATATTGATAGACCAGAGAGCTACACTGCCACCCATTGAAAAAACTGTATATTTATTGCGCACAAAAAAGTGCGCTCGATTCTTAATTAATTATTCCAAATTCTTACCTCAATTGCAATTAATGAAAGATTTCAAAATATTCTCTTATTTTCTATCAAGTACTCTCGTAGTTGACATCCGAATCATATATGATTATGATGTCAAAGCCAATGCATGGGGATAATTATTTCAATTAAAAATGCTCCGCTAGTTTTAGAAAAGAAAAACTTTCAATTTGATAATTATTTTAACATATAAACAGAATTTTATGAATGAATTTTGTATCTGAAAAAGATATGATTTGTACAAGTATTATATTAAGTGAAAATGTTCAACATAAGTAGCAGTTTAGGATGTTAAGATTACCTTTAAAAGAAATATTTAATTTGAGGGGTTATAGTTGTGATTTATTCTACTCTATTAAAAAAAAACCCTGTGAATCAAATATCATAACCCATGCAATTTGTGTACATGTAGGTTTTGTGTGGAGGCAATCGATCAAACTGATCTAGAATAGTTCTTTACTGTTTTGTAAATAAAAGTCAGAGATACAGAATGCATACTAGCATATTATTTCTTGTATTGTTTGTGCAGAGGCTGCTCTTATATACAAGTGAATGATCCCTGTTCTGTTTATTATATGATTATAAAAAAAATTCAAAAAAAAAAAATGAAAATATAATTTGTAATTTAATTAATTACTTTTGTGAAGTAATTGTAATTTAATTAATTACTTTTGTGAAGTAATTGTAATTTAATTAATTACATATCTTAGGAAGTCTGTAATTTAATGGTAATTTAATTGAAGAAAAAGTCAAAGTAATTGTAATTTAATTAATTACTTTTTAAAGTAATTGACCCCATCCCTGGTATAAATAAGCAAAATGTTCGATGATTAGAATATCAGGGTCAGGAGGACTACAACAATTATAAGGAATGTTTGGTTGTGGAAATAGCGAAAGAATATGTTAGAACACATGGTTAGTAATATTTTGAGATTACAGTTTTAAAAACATGGAGAAATAAATCGAGAACCGAGCGCACTTTTTTGTGCGCAATAAATATACAGTTTTTTCAATGGGTGTCACTGTAGCTTTCCAGTCTATCAATATATTTTTTTCGGAGAGCTACAGATCTGCAGCTAACGTTATGTAGTTTAACTTGTACATCACAATATTTCTCTGTCTAAACTAACCAATTGTAACAATTATCAGAGTGACAAACATACTTAAACATCAGTACTGTGTAGCAGTCAATCTGTTCAATCATATCATTGTCATTATTAAAACATGTCCTGTTTATTAAGATAAAATCTTACCTAGGGTCTAGTATTTTAATGAGACAAACAAATTCACTCCCCTCAACCACTGAGTAAGGCCCCATATCTTTAATAATAAGCCGGGCTATTTGATCTGTAATTGCTTGAGCTTTCGGACTTTTGCTAGCGTATTTTGATCCAAAACATCCACCACTAACCATTGCAGAAAGTGTCACTTGGCCTTTTGGGGAAGTAGATAAACCACGACGTGATAATGGTTTTGATTAGTTTTGTTGAGAGTTAACAATGTCAGTATTGCTGTGATGTCGGCGCATATGACTGGACAAATTTGTCGTGCCTCCAGAGTATTTAATACTTTCGTTACAATAATCACACACTGCAATATTTGCAACAACTTTCTGATTTTCTTTTCTTAACTTAAATGATTCCATATTCACCGGTTAACAGGTAATATTGCACAGCACTAATGAATAAAGACTCCTCTTCTAAAGTGTGAAATTCGTGTCACAATAGTCCAGTGTTTTGACCTTTGGAATGAAGTAATGAAAACTAACTTTTGTTTATGACAACTTTATTTTGTGATTTACCAGGGTAAAACTAGTTTGCGACGATTAATTTTCATGATCAAGCCTATTTTGGATCAGTTGTTAATAGACACATCAACTCCAAAAATTGGTTCCCAGCGAGAAATATTCGCAAAGACAAGGCTCTCAGGAACCTTGCGAAAATTTCTCGCATGCAAATAATAGTTGATTTATAATAAATCACAGCTTGTGATACTTTGTTGACAATGATTTAAAACAAATTCCCTCATATACATGTAAACTAAAGTAAGTTAAATATTCTGTTTTTATAGCTGACTCAGACAGAGAGAAGTCCAGTGCCTCAGGAACATCAACTCCCATTGGGATTGACTATACAGAGGAGAGAGAGGAGAAACCACTAGTACCCCAGGAGGAGCGGGACCGAAAACTAGGTAGGGTGGTGCATATACAAACTCAGTGTTAACAGTCAAAACTGTTTGAGAAATTCCTGTTCATTTTAAACTAGTGCACAATTGTAATTAATATATAATGGGTAATTCATGGGCACGCTTAATGGAACCTTGTTATCTCGTTTGAATGATTAAAATTCTTCAAAATTATTTCTTTCGTTTCACTCATCCGAACATAAAATATTTCTAAGTGTCTTGGTGAATAAACAACAGAACACAGATATAGAATGTGATGAGTGCCTATCAACCAGTTCGATGTGATGAGCAAGTATCAAATAGTTTATTCATTGTATGTATTGTTATGGGTCAGAATAACCCTAAATGCCAGCAAAGATCAATAACAAAATTTAAACTTAACAATAATTTATTTACAGTAGTATATAATAAGTATATGAAACATAAAGTACAAACTTAGCAAGAATCTAAAAATACATACATCAGAGTGTCCGTTTCTGCACACAATGTCTCAGTGAAAATATATATCCCAGTTATATCTCAATAGTGCTTATGCGACAAAGTATTGTATCTGCATCGAATTGACAGGGTATTTATATAGTATCATAAATCTAGAATATTCTAGAAATTATTAAAACATGATATTACTGGAACAATCTGGACATACACAAAATTTAAGAATGTTCTAGATCAAATGACCGAACATGTTGACCACTCTGGAATGTTCAAGAAACTTAATGTTACTAATTATATACATAATGAAACAATACACATCTCACAACAGTATAATAAATATGCAAAATTATCAAAGATGTACTGGAAGCAGACCCTACAAAATACAATGTAAAATATTAAACATACATGTCAGAATTTTAACAATATTTCCATTTCTTTTTTTTTTTTTTTTATCTCTACTGGTCAGAGACCTACACTAAGATACATAAAATAGTGTATCGGTTTTTGATTTCAATGAACGGTGTTGCCATGGGTACTAAAAATAGAATTTTCTGTGAAATTCCTTGAAAACGCTACTCCTTCTACAGTTTTGGTCTGATTTCAATATAACTTCGCACACAAGTAGACTACACTAAGATACATAAAATGGCGCATCGGTTTTTGATTTTGATGAACAGTGTTGCCATTGCTACTAAAAATAGAATTTTCTGTGAAATTCCTTCAAAAAGCTACTCCTTCTACAGTTTTTGTCTGATGGCAATGGCTTCTTTTCTCATCCTTTGTTATAAGTACAAACCAGTAGAGCTACAGTCTCGACAGAGACTTCTGGTTTCTATTTTATAACTCTTTGAAAGTTATTCAAGTTGATTTCATGATAGTTCTACTGGAATGTAAATTTCACCATGGCCTAATATGCGTGCAAATTATTCCACGTTTCCATCTATCAATAATTCCCAGGTATACCCAACAAACTAGACAATGATTCCTTGAATAAATGAAAAAAGAGTGTTCGAAACTGGTTGACCACTGTCAATGACCATTGTCAATGACCACTTCACGCCTGACCAGCACCTTATATACTGTGACCTTACAACTACTTTTCATTATACTTGAGCATGCCGAAATTGCTCAAACAATACACTAATAGAAATTGATTTATGTTCTCCTTCGTTTCACTCATCGGAACATAAAATATTTCTATTCTAAGTATCTTAGGGAATAAACAACAGAACACAAATATGGAATGTGATGAGGCCATCCTTAAAAAAAATGTTTGTTATACCCCCGCAAATGAAGTTTAGGGGAGTATATTGGAATCAGCTTGTCCGTCTGTCTGTCTAGCTGTCCGTCTGTAGACAAGACTTTGTCCAGACCGTTTCTCAGAAACTATTGGATGGATTTGTCTGAAAATTTGTACACTAATTATTCAACGTATGAAGGTGTGCACCTGGTACCTTCAGCATGATTGGATGATTTTTATGCATTTTTCAGGTGTTTTTTCTTTTTTATTTTGTGGTTTTGTTTGGCTCATAACTAGAAAACTATTAGACTTACAATCATCAAACTTGGCCAATTTATGCATTTTTGGTATAAGGTGTGTCACAACCTATTTTCAAGGTCACTGTGACCTTTAATTTAAGTGTAATTTAAAAAAAAAATGTCTTTTATTATTCAATTACACAATCCCAAAAATTGTAAGAGAGTTGCTGTATCCCACAGGTACTTGTGGACAGGACCCCCCCCCCCCCCCATATTCAACCCCGGGGCTTGTTGGACATTTTTTTGACAAATTATATTTATTACACTTATTCATCATGTGTACAATATGAAAAAATCGTCAAAACCCAAAAATAATCGCTCCACAAAAAAATACCCCACTATACATTATAAGAGAGAAAGCTATGAAACTCCCATTTGTTTACGCTGTACCCCCACTGGTCTTTCTGGGTTTAAAAACATGTATTTGTTTTATTTCAACCTGAAATGTCGATTCACACCGCTCTACATGTATTTCTGTCAAAGTCCATGCTATCGGATTGACTCTGCATCTCGTAAGAATCCCACAATTTCAGTCAGAATGTTGAAATTTCCCTTAGTGAAAGCAATGGAAGTCCACATAGAATGTATGATAACACCCGAGAGAGATTATTACGTCAGGCCAAAACTCTCTTGGACGTTATCCTAATAAGTGAAACATTCTCTATGCACTTCCATTGTGATTACCTAAGGAAATTTCAACGTTGTTGTTTTTAGATTTTTAGGTCACCTGAGTAAACTCAGGTGACCTATTGCTATCTGTTTTCGTCCGTCGTCGTGCGTTGTCCGTTAACATTTGAACATTTTCAGCTACTTCTCTGCAACCACTGAACCAATTTCAACCAAATTTGGCACAAAGCGTCTATGGGTGAAGGGGAACAAAAATTGGGAATTTCATGGTCCCTGCCTCCCTGGGGCCTGGGGGGTGGGGCAAAAACCACTAAAATTATTGCAATCTTTAAAAATCTTCTTCTTTACTCCTGGACATCAAGCAGTCAAACTGTTTGCATGATTGCAATCAGCATTGAGTCCTCTACCAAAATTGTGAAATTCATGGCCCTTGGGTCAGGGGTTTTATTGCTAGGGCGGGATAAATAAGTATATAGTGAAAATTCATTATTTCTTCTCTTCTCTGCTCCTGGGTATTAAATAAACTAACTAAGTGCATAGTTATGATGAGCAAGAGTGAGCAAGAGTGCCTCTACCAAAATTGTGAATTTTATGGCCCCAGGGTCAGGGTTCGGGTGTTAGGGCAGGGCTCTATAGATTATATAATGAAAATACATGAATTCTTTGAAAAAATTTCTTTTCTGCTCCTAGGAATTAAATAAACTAAGTACACAGTTATGATGAGCAAGAATACCTCTTCCAAAATTTTTATTTTATGGCCCTAGGGTCAGGGGTTCTAGTGATAGGGCGGGGCTCTATTGATTATATAGTGAAAATACATTAAATCTTTGAAAATTTTCTTCTCTGCTCTTGGGTATTAAGCAGATGAGCTACCTATGTAGTTATGATGAGCAAGGACCCTAATCTTCCAGAATTGTGAATTTCAAGGCCCCAGGGTCAGGGGTACCATGAGGGGGGGGGGGTGTACTTATATACTGAAACTGGATGAATTGTTTGAGATCTGCTCCTTGGTATTAATCAAATATTTTTGAAAAGCAAGGGTACCTTTTCAAAAATTGTGCTATGTGTGGATCTAGGCCTAAGGGTCAGGGGTTTATGTGTGATAGGGGCATTACTGATTATTTCTGAATATTACTGATTACTTGAAATGCATTTTTTGCTCCCCCACCCTGCCTATGGGTATTAAGTAAACAAACTAAGCAACTGCTAAGTGTATTGTTATGATGATCAATAATGCCTCTTTCAAAATTGTGAAAGCCATAGCATCTGGCTTAAAACATGAATCAAATTAAATCACTGGAAAGTTGTTGCATAATGCTCAGGTGACCTATAAGGCCCATGGGCCTCTTGTTAGATGATGCTATCCATTTCCATGCGTTGTGTGTTAAAATTTGAACATTTTCAACTTCTCTGAAACCACTGAACCAATTTCAACCATATTTGGTATATAGCATCTATGGATGAAGGGAAACAAAAATTATGAATTTCATTGTCCCCGCCCCCCTGGGGCCTGAGGGGTGGGTCCAAAACCACTAAAATTATTGCAATCTTAAAAAATCTTCTTCTTTACTCCTGGACATCAAGCAGGCAAACTGTTAGAATGAATGTAATAAGCATTGAGTCCTTTACCAAAATTGTGAAATTCATGGCCCCAGGGTCAGGGGTTCTAGTGCTAGGGCGGGGCTATATAGATTCTGATCTACCTCTGGGTATTAAGTAAATAGAGTAAGCATGCTTAAAGTGCATTTTCTCTTTGTTACTCTGATCTACCTCTGGGTATTAAGTAAATAGAGTAAGCATGCTTAAAGTTAATAATTATAAAAGCAATGGTGCCTCTTTCAAAATTGTGAATTGTGAATCTCATGGATTAGTTGAAGACACAAACCAAATTTAATTGTTGCACAATACTCAGGTGACCTGTATGGCCCGTGGGCCTCTTGTTTGAAATAATATTGAAAAATAGTTTTTTGTAATGTCATTAACGCTGCAAAATTATTCTCCTTCATGTAGTATTTATATGCTGTGTACTTTGCCCTCAGGAGCCCATATTTGGCAGTAAACTTTCTGTTTATATTGAGGCGCTGCAGTGTACTGAATACTCATTTTCTAGAAATGGGCCCGGGGAGGGTGTGTGTGTGTGAGCACAGGGGCCGGTAACATACTGTTTTTAGCTCTACTGGTCAGAGACCAGAAGAGCTTATGCGATAGTAATGCGTCCGGCGTCCGTCCGTCTGTCTGTAAACAATTTTTCAAAATGCTACTCCTCCTACAGTTTTGGTCTAATTTCAATATAACTTGGCACACGAGTAGACTACACTAAGATACATAATTCTGTGTATCGGTTTTTGATTTCGATGAACGGTGTTGCCGTGGTTACTAAAAATAGAAATTTCTGTGAAATTCTTTCAAAATGCTACTCCTCCTACAGTTTTGGTCTGATTTCAGTATAACTTGGCACACAAGTAGACTACACTAAGATACATAATTCTGTATATCGGTTTTTGATTTTGATGAACGGTGTTGCCGTGGTTACTAAAAATAGAAATTTCTGTGAAATTCTTTCAAAATGCTACTCCTCCTACAGTTTTGGTTTGATTTCATTATAACTTGGCACACAAGTAGAATACACTAAGATACATAATTATACTTATCGGTTTTTGATTTCGGTGAACGGTGTTGCCGTGGTTACTAAAAATAGAAATATCTGTAAAATTGTTTCAAAATGCTACTCCTCCTACAGTTTAGGTCTGATTTCAATATAACTTGGCACATAAGTAGAATACACTAAGATACATAATTCTGTATATCGAATTTTAATTTTGATGAACGGTGTTGCCGTGGTTACTAAGAATAGAAATGTCTGTAAAATTGTTTCAAAATGCTACTCCTCCTACAGTTTTGGTCTGATTTCAGTATAACTTGGTACACAAGTAGACTACACTAAGAACATAAAGAGACTTTATCAACGATCATTATTCTATTTAGTTTCAAATCCCAGCTGCTTAAGTACTTTTCTCTTCCTTTGCTATAAGTTCAAACCAGTAGAGCTTCAGTCTCGACAGAGACTTCTGGTTTAAAAAATGTAATCAAGTAAAATCCTCCTTCCATGAGTGCACCCTTATATTTCTACCCCTCAGCGGGGCCCTTGCTGACTGGTCAGTTTTCTAGTTACAATCATGCAAACAGTTTGACTGCTAGATGTCCAGGAGTAAAGAAGAAGATTTTTTTTAAAGATTTCATTAATTTTAGTGGTTTTAGCCCCACCCCTCAGGCCCCAGGGGAGCAAGGATCATGAAATTCACAATTTTTGTTCCCCTTCATACATAGATGCTTTGTGCCAAATTTGGTTGAAATTGGTTCAGTGGTTGCAGAGAAGAAGCTGAAAATGTTCAAATGTTAATGTACAAGGCACGACAACGGACGAAAACGGATAGCAATAGGTCACCTGAATTTACTCAGGTGACCTAAAAATTTGAAAATATCAATTGACTAATTTCAGAGCATCATGTCCCACATGAAAGATATGTGTGTGTGTTTGTGGGGAGGGGCATTTGTCAAGCTATAATGCAACCAGTTGATAATTATTTGTTATAATTAATGCTTACACCACAGGGAATGTTTGTTTAAACAAATATTATAAGTAATGGAAAAATTATAAAATTGTGAGCTGGCACCTATTCTGAAAAACCCAGCGGGGAGTATTTGTCCCTATTAGACAGTTCTAGTTTTCCTCTTTTTTTCAACCAAAAATAGCACAGATACTAGATCTAACTATTGATATGTGACCAGTGACTTAATTTGGGCTTTACACATGCATCAAAATTTAATTCGAATTCACTTCCCTTAGCGTTCACATGGAGTTCATGCGAAGTAATTTATTGCACAGTTAATTGGTTCAAATTAAACTATTATTTTGACAATGAGACGGGTTCTGTATCATAGATACAAATTTGGGGGTGGACGAGTGCATAGCATGAGTCTCCACCCCAAAAGAAGTATATATCTTGGCCCCCTAAAAATCAACGTTTTAGAATGACATTCAGATATTTTTAATTGATATTTATTTTGTAGAAGAGATTATATTAGAAATATTTCCAATATATTTTTCACATTTTTATGCACTCACTAGCTGTAAATGACATTAGAAATAATGCTATTTTTGCTATCTATCAAAAAAGCCAAAAGTATGCCTTTTTTAGCTCACCTGAGCAAGTGAGCTTTTCTGATCACATTTTGTCCGTCGTCCGTCCGTCTGTCTGTCCATCCATCCGTCTGTCTGTAAACTTTTCACATTTTTGACTTCTTCTCAAGAACCACTGGGCCAATTTTGACCAAACATGGTACAAAGCATACTTGAGTAAAGGGGAATTTAAATTGTTAAAGTGAAGGGCCAAGTCCCCTCACAAGGGGAGATAATCAAGAAAAAGCAAAAATAGGGTGGGGTCATTAAAAAATCTTTTTCTTAAGAACCACTAGGCCAGAAAAGCTGAAACTTAGGTGGAAGCATCCTGAGGTAGTGTAGATTCTAAATTGTTCAAATCATGCCCCCCGGGGGTAGGATGGGGCCACAATGGGGAATCAAAGTTTTGCATAGAAATATATAGGAAAAATCTTTTAAAATCTTCTCAAGAAACACTGGGCCAGAAAAGCTGAAACTTATGCTGAAGCATCCTGGGGTAGTGTAGATTCTAAATTGTTCAAATCATGACCCCAGGGGGTAGGGCGGGGCCACTATGAGGAACCAAAGTTTTACATAGAAATATGTAAGAAAAATCTTTAAAAATCTTTTTCTCAAGAACCACTAGGCCAGAAAAGCTGAAACTTATGCTGAAGCATCCTGGGGTAGTGTAGACTCTAAATTGCTCAAATCTTGACCCCCGGGGGTAGGGCAGGGCCACAATGGGAAATCAAATTTTACATAGAAATATAAAGGAAAAATCTTTTAAAATCTTCTTCTCAAGAACCACTGGGCCAGAAAAGCTGAAACTTATGTGGAAGCATTCTGGGGTAGTGTAGATTCTAAATTGTTAAAATCATGACCGCCGGGGGTAGGGCGGGGCCACAATGGGAAATCAAATTTTACATAGAAATATAAAGGAAAAATCTTTAAAAATCTTCTTCTCAAGAACCACTGGGCCAGAAAAGCTGAAACTTATGTGGAAGCATTCTGGGGTAGTGTAGATTCTAAATTGTTTAAATCATGACCCCCGGGGGTAGGGCAGGGCCACAATGGGAAATCAAATTTTACATAAAAATATAAAAGAAAAATTATAAAAAATCTTCTTCTCAAGAACCACTGGGCCAGAATAGCTGAAACTTATGTGGAGGCATCCTGGGTTAGTGCAGGTTTTAAATTATTCAAATCATGACCCCGGGGTTTGGGGGGGGCACAATAAGGTCTCAAAGTTTTTCATAGAAATATATAGAAAAAATCTTTAAAAAAATCTTCTCCTCAAGACCCACTGGGCCAGAAAAGCTGAAACTTATGTGGAAGCTTCCTGGGATAGTGTAGATTTCAAATTGTTTAAATCATGACCCCTGGGGGTAGGGTGGGGTCACAATATGTATAACAAGGGGGAAATCTAGGAAAGAACAGCATGGGCAAGGCTTCTCAGGTGAGCGATGTGGCCCATGGGCCTCTTGTCTTGATGTTTTTTCTTATGGGAAACATAGAGCGCACTAATTCAAGGGAAAAACAGATGTCACTAATTAGTATTGGATAGATACACCTTTGGTAAAAATATAAAGCTTGTTCTAGGCTGCGCTTTATATTTTCTGGAAGAAAAACTGCTTGAAAATGAGCAGTTTTATGCAAAATATGCTAAAATGGCAGGAAAACGTGATTTGTATGATGTCATATTTCTAAAGTAATGGCATTTTGATCAAAATGAAAATGACCAATGAAGGTTGCATATAAAGCTGTACAAATTAAAGATATATATAAAGTAAAATTAAGATATTCATTTTAAGGTGCCAATTGAGACACTTACCATATATCGCTCTTTGTATCTATGATACTGAACCTGTCGAGTTCTCTAAATGCTTTTTGACACGATCAATTAAAGAAAAATAGCTTCGACAACTTTATAACTATGCAGCATCCAAGCTTCCGCCAGAGTTCTGTAGATGAGACCCTGATTGGGAGTACACATCAGCAGTATATATACTTCTATGGAAAACATAAGATTTGGTCAGATTAGTTTTGACAATTTAATGGGGTAGACGTAATCCAGCGATAGACAGACAGTCTTAATGGATAAGGTAGAGGATTTAACTGTAATTGTTGTGGTCTATTGTAGATGGAAGTTGATCATAATATATTTCAGGGGTTTTAAAATCCCGGTTTAACTAGATAAACAAAAACAGGATATACAGAAAACTCTTTGATGGACTTTGATGTCACAGGTTTTTATTTTCTAATTAAATTGTGACATTAAAAACGAAGTGAAAGAGACGTGCGGCTGTCATCAACGATAAGGATTTACGATGAAATTTTTAAAATAAAAAACACAAATGGACTAGAATGATTTTGCAGGAGGAGAGTGGATGTTTTCCATTCTTTTTGTTTGGATTGAAATTATGTAAAGATTCTGTGTGGAATACATTTTAAAAGTGATTGAGAAATTTACATTTTACATTCCCAGGGAAATATTTCTCCAACATTTATAGTAGGAAAACATCAGTATTTACTATTTGTATGTGCTTTTGATAAATTCATTCAGATTTATTTTTAGACTATGCTGTATTTTACATACAGTATAGTTGGCTAATACAAGACAATATATAGGGCAAATACAGAACGGGAAGTAGATCCACCCACCATAGTCCCATTCTGTATTGCTAATACAGAACAGTAAACTTCAAAGAAAAACACCACTATCTTGTCACAATTTGTATTAAATTCTCCATGTGAATGCTGTTTAGATTAAATTCGCAGTAACTTACTTTTAACTTAAATTAAACTCTCCATGTGAACATGGCATATAATTTGAATGTATTTCCGCCATTTCACATGTATCTGGTATATTGTTTTTGTGTATATTGTACATAGAACCTTATGTACCATTAATTAATTTGAGTGAATAAATTGAACTTGAACTTGGAGGCGAAACCTACCATGATAATTTAGGAGCAATGTTTTTGTTATGGTTTTAAATGTGATTATAAGAATTCTTTTTATTATAATAGTTGAGGAGCGACTTAAGGACAAATTAGCTCAGGCTGCCAGAGAGAAGCTGGTTCAGACTTCAAGGGAAAAACAGATGCAAGCTGAAAGAAAAAGAAAGGCTGCCATGTTTATTAACATGCTGCGTTCTTGTAATTCAGGAGCAGCTGGTGAAGAGGAGGAAGAATTTCTAAGTATGTACACAGTGATCATCAGAATGAAACACTTATGCCCTGTTCACACGGAGAGTTTAATTGGAATTAAACGTAAGTTACTGTGAATTAAATTTGAACCGAGTTCACACGTGGAGTTTAACGGGTTGGAGAGAATACTCGAAATCGGGTATTATCCGTGAAATCGCGTATAATACCTGATATTAGGGTATCGTTGAATCCGCGAAATCGGGTATTCGTGCAACTTTCCATAAAAACAAAAGAATAAAGCAACAGCACATTATGCCAGTTACTGTTACTTGTACATCAGTATCTTGGGGATTTATTTTTATTAAATCTAATTTATATGGTTGTCAAATAAGTTTAAAATTACACGACAAATACTGCTGGGGTAACAAAGAAGACACAATGGCGTTATCATTTTTCAATATAATTTCTAAAAACAAATAAGTACACTTCGTTTTTCTTTATTTCCCAATAAAGTATTTCATATACTTAATTTTCTAATTTGTGCACTATTCAAAAAATGTGAAACTTTAAAGAAATTAAATGACCAACGCCGTGTTATGCATTTTTACTGAAAATTGTATAGCGTCCCTTTCACGTGAAATTAGAAAATTAAATGAATATTACTTGTAAGATCAAATTTGATTATAATTTTACCAAATCAACTTAGTACTGAGGGATCAAATGAGATTGCTTCGAGGTCACGTGATGGTCAGTATTCAGAGATCCTTGGAAGTATTGATGTAATTTTAATAATGATAATATCCATTTTGATTTAGATGATTTCCAGCATCCCATATACAAAGGGTGGGTATGGGATGGGCATTTGATCCCTCAGTACTAAGTTGATTTGGTAAAATTATAATCAAATTTCATCTTACAAGTAATATTCATTTAATTTTCTAATTTTACCAAATCAACAGTACTGAGGGAACCAATGAGATTTTAGAGACAATACTTCCAAGGATTCAAAATGTATTGTATATATTAAAAACAAATGCAAACAGTTAACTTTTATTTTCGACTAGCTTAATATAAAATAAACTTGCATTTAACATGATGATGTATTGACATTTTAAAACAAAAGCGACACAATTGGATTTCATGACTTTGAATAATTTTCCAAAATAATATTTCCTACATTCACTTTTTCTTCACTACATGGCTTATTATAAAACTTTCGAAATGTACAATCTGATTTCCAACCGGCAACATTCAAAATGGTCGTAATTGGTACATTTGCGGATTTTGCAGCACTCATTGATGCTGTTCTTGTGCTGTGAGCCTTAAACATTTTTACATTAATACCAGAATTTTCTAACACAGTCCTTATCCAGTTGCTAATTGTCTGTTTGGAAATCTTTTGATGAGGTGTCATGGTGCTAACGAACAGCTGTGTTTCTTCGCCACGCAAAGATTTTGTACGTCCTAAGTATTCTTGTAAAGTTTTCACTACACATAAGCGTTCATCTTGTTTGTATCGCACAAGTTCAATAGGTTGTAAATGACTGCCAGGTTTGGATTGTTTCAACAAGTCTCCGAAATGAATTTTTACAAAATCATTGTATATCAAAATATTTCTAATATCTATCAGATGTAAAGACTGACATCTTTGTCCTGTCAATAAAGCAATCAACATAGCTAACTTCCAACTCAAAAGTCTAAGACTAATAGTATTTACAGGAATAAGAGTTTTCAAATATTCTAAAACTAATGAAACATCCCATGTACATGCATATCTAGGCAATGATGGTCTTTTATTAAATATGCCTCTCATAAATCTTTTAATCAAACTATTGCTACCAAGACTAGTTTCTGGATTAATAATTTCAAACACTGAAGAAATACATGACTTTGCTGTGTTCACAGCACTATAACCTAATCCACTGTTGTACAATTGTAATAAGAACTCTAAAACATTATTTACAGATGCTTGAAATGTATTAATTGATTTTCGCTCACAAAATAGCATCCATTTATGGAAATACGTCCAATATTGTTGTTGTGTGGATTGTCTCCAAGATGACAGCAAAATGTCTGCAATGTCCTCCGATATATTTTGCTGTCTGAGGCTCTCCCTGATATTTTGCACACAAAAAGTCGCATTTTTGACAGTGGATGCTTCTCGTTTGGTGACATGGGAAGAGTTAATAGATGATGTCGCTTTGGTATTAGAATAGGTGGTTCCACCAGTAATTGGAGTAATTTTGTGAACCAATGCTGAGTTGTCCAAAGAGGTGCCACCAGAACTGCTTTGCATCTGTCTGTCTCTATCTTTTGAATGACTCTCCCAACAAGCTAAAAGGAGGAAACATATAATATAGTTTATCATATGTCCATGCAAAGCTAAAAGCATCTACAGCAATTGCTGTGGGGTCTGGTAAAAATGACACATATGTAGTCAACTGTGTATTGATTCTGGAAGCAAATAAATCAATGTCAGGGGTTCCAAGCTGTTCACAAATATTTTGAAATACAGTCTTGTCTAACATCCATTCCATATCCTTAGATAAGTTTCTTGAGAGTTTGTCTGCTTCATAATTTTTCTTACCAGGAAGGTGACATGCACTTAACCAAATATTTCGACGTTTACACCAAAGCCAAATTTCTCGTGCCAAGTTGTGTAATGTCGGAGTTTTACCTCCCATATTTTGCAAGTAGGCAACAGCTACTGTATTGTCCATGCACAGTTTTATATGACAGTCTTTCATGATAGAGCAAAAACTTTTTAAGGTCAAGAACCCAGCTAACAGTTCCAAATAATTGATGTGGTTTTGCTGTTCTGTGTAAGACCAGTGTCCCCCTGTTCTTTTTGAAGAGTCACCTTGGAGTAGTCCCCCCCATCCTAAGCCTGAACTATCGCTCTCTAACACCACATGTGGTTCGGGTCTATTGATAGGGTACAGACTTGTATGGAGATTGTTAATCCACCATGATAAGATGTCTCGTGCTGATTCTGATATTTTAATAACTGAATCATAATCACCTTTAGCACATTTTAATGCTTGTTCTTTTTCATGTTCTAAGTCTTTCAAAAATAGTGGTGCGAACTGGACACCTGGCTGACATGCAACCAATTTTCCTATGATTTGTGAAAAGTCTCTGATAGAGATTTCAACTTTACTAAGAACTTTTTTGCACAGTAGGACAATTTTGTCTGCTTTTTCACAAGTTACTGACACAGTCATTTTTTCTGAATTCAATAAAAATCCCAAAAATTCTGTTTCTTTAGTTGGAACAAATATTGACTTCTCCGGATGAATTGTTAGTCCTAAATTATCCATAAGTGTTACTGTGTCTAACACGTTGTTTTTACAAGAATAATAAGAATCACCCTGTAGCAAACAGTCATCTATGTAGCACACTATTGAATGACCCAATTTTCTCAGTTGTGAAAGAACTGGTTTCAAAAGTTTTGTGAACACTCGTGGGGATGTAGATAATCCCATGGGTAGACAGGTAAATTGAAATAATTGGTCTTTCCACATGAATCGGAGATATTTTCTGTCTGCCCTTGTTACTGGGACTGAATAATAGGCATCTTTTAGGTCAATGGAAGCAAACCAACAGTCTTGTTTCATTAGGTTTATAGCTGATTTTAATGTGTCCATCTTGAAATGAATGTGTTCTACTTCTGAATTAAATTTTTTCAAATTCAAAATGAGTCTGATTGAACCATCTTTTTTCTCACGAGGAAAGATTGTTGATATATACTGATCACAATAAAAATCATTCCCTTTTTCAATTATGTTTTTATCTAAGAATTTAGAAATTTCCCTATCTAGACCTTCTTCCTCAGCCATAGAAAATTTTATGTTCCTTGGAACTAATTTTTGTAAGGGTTCACTTGCAAGTTCAATTTCATAACCTGATACAACATTTAGAGTCCAGGGATCAGAGGTGATCTCTGACCATTTATTTCTGAATGAAGAAATTTTTCCCCCCACAAAATTGTCAGGGTTATTTTTCAGTCTCATGTTTCTTGTATCAGTACTTACAGTTGTAGGGTTTTGTTCTAGTCTTTTTTGTTCCTTTGAAATTTCTGGAACTGGCGCTTCTCTAAAAAAGAGCTCTTGTTGGTGTTGTTCCTGTTATTCATTGTATGTCGTCCATTAGATGGAGACTTAAAGCTGTTCTGCCTGTTCTGTGTGTAACGGTTCTTGAAATTTGAATAAATGGGGGAGTATCGCTGAGACTGGTTGTGTTTGTCTGTGATTTTCCTGCTGACTTTTTTGGCATCAGTTATTTCTTTGATTTGTTTCTCTAGTTCGTCCCCAAACAAATAATCTGTGACAGGAATTTCTGCTGCACACAATGCCTTGTACTCGTTAGACAGCTCAGGTCTGAGTGACAATCTTCTTCGTTGTGACATCTCCGAGAACCCCAGTTGTAAAAGTTTGAAAGTGTCATTGCACAGAGCAAAACAGTCAGTAACATCTGTCTGTGTAAGTCCTTGTTTCCCAGTCTGTGCTTTCAGAAGTTTGTCCATTAAGTGTATCAATGGATAAAAGGTTTTACACATAGTACTTTGTATGTGTTGTAGTTTTAAGTCTTGGTCCCATGCTTTCCTTGGCAGGCTTGACCAGATGCCCTTGTTAATTCTAGGGACTGTTATTTTCTCACAGTTCTGTGGTTTCATGTGTTTTGCCAGTAAGTCTTTCTTTTTTGTTTCTCCAATACGTGTCCTCATGCTATCATTTACAATTTTTGCTAGTCTGTCTTCAATTTTACCAGAACATTTTTCTTCCTGTTTATAGAATAATTCCATAGAAGAAAGTAAGTCATCAGAGTCCTTTTCTTCTATAATATCATCCTCGATTGCGGCTGGATCAGCTATTTTGTCTAATTCATTCGTCCAATCCGCATCCGGTTCTTCATCCGAATTTCCTTGCGACTCCTCGGATAATGCGATTGAGTATGAATTGTTTTCATTTTCGTCCAGTGGTCTAGTTATGGTTGCCGTTGGCTGGCTTATTTTTGGCACATGGCTCATATTAACCATCATTTGCTGCATT